TAATTTTAAAATTATACAATATAAAAATTTTTTAATTTATATTTAGCATTATATTCTTACTTGCATTTTGATCTAGCTAAAATTTTCAATTTTGTAAAGATCAAGATAAAAAAAAAACTAATAAAAGCTAGCTTTTTATTTGTAAATTTAGTCTTTATATACTATGAAAATATTATTATTATAAAATTCTAATACTTTTTTTTTTTTATTTTGGTGTTAAGATGATCTCTATGGCCGGAAACTTTTTATTAGACTTATTAACTTCAGATTATACAGTTACAACGAGAGTACATCAAGCCACACATGTACTTTTAGTACCTAATTTAAGTAGTTCGCCTGGGTTCTACACTAGCTGCCATACCTGCAACCTAACTAAAAGATTATCTATTTAAGCTTTCTGATTATTACTAATGAGAGTACGACTTGCCATACATGCAACTTTTGGTTGCTTATTTAAGTAGTCTGCCCTAGGTTCTATACTAGCTGCTGTATCTGCATCCCAACTATGGGAATATTCATTTAAATCTCCTGGTCACAACTGCCATCCGTTCCTAAACTAACCAAGGTATAACTTACTATTCATACGTAGATTTTGCAATATCTGGAGATTTCACACCTACCTTAGGACTTACTAACCATTTCTAGCTAATCTATCTACGAGCTAAATCTAATAGAGTAGTCCATGTCCCACATATGTTTATATCTGCATGTTCAGTAATTTCTTTCTAACTAGTACCTGTTGTGCTGCCATTACCAGGTTCATATTTCAAGCTATCCTTTAGAATACTGCCGTAACTCAATCCATATCTCAAGCCACAACCTTCCTAATTAGATAAAATTCTAACTCTTATATACTTACTGATTACATATTACATAAGATTTAGCATTTTTAGAATAGATCCTGTTCTTATAGTAATATTAATAAGTCAGTATGTATAATAATAAAATAAAAACTTTTGATTCATGCAGGATTGAATGGTGTTATCAATAACTTGTATAGTAAGACTATTATTAACTTGTACAGTAGGCATTATCATTAATTTGTATAGTAGATGTTACTATAATTCTGCAGTATTTAGGATTACTATCTAATGTAATTCTACTTCTCATAGGCAACTACTTATTTTAGCGAGTAATACAAATCTTTAAAAAGGAGTTGGGCAATCAGAGAGTACAAATTTGACATATATGAAAGTATAAAATATAAAAAGAAAGCAAAAACTAATGTTTAAACCAACCTTGGTTTACTAATTAAAAATAACAAGAACAAAATTTGTATATAATAAGTACTACTTTATTGCTATAGTCTCTTCTATTAATGCTTTAACTCTAAACTTTTATCTTTATTCAATTAGTTAATTTGCAAAATTCAATTTTATTTTTTGGTTTGTAAAAATAAGTCATAGTAATAGTAATAAATTGGAATTATAAAGTAAATTACTAAATATGTATAATAATATTAAAGCTTTTGATTCATGCAAGATTAGAATAACATTATTGTTAAACAAACCAATTGAATCTAGTTTGTATTATAGATATTACTATAATATAGTGTTTTGGATTACTATCTAATATAATACTACTTCTCATAGTATTATAAAATTCGATTACCAAATATGCTTAATAACATTAAAGCTTTCAATTTATGAGGGTTAGAGTAGCATCATTGTTAAATCAAATCTAGTTTGTATTGTAAGCACTACTATAATTATTTTAATGTGTTTATATTATGCAAAGTTTAAAGTTACTACCTTAATATAATTCAAAATTTTCTATAGTAACAGTAATAAAATCAAAGAATAAAGTCAATTACAAAATATTGTTATATTAGCGATATATTAGTATTTTTAAATTTTTATTAAGTAACTATGTGTAACTTCTAATTGTAGTACAAATCTGATTCCACCAATGGAATCCTGGATATTGATTTCCTTAGCGTAGTTTTTACTGTTTGTCATTCGAGTTAATAGTTAACGAGTTATTAAGGCTTAAAGATATATAACTATAGAAGGTGATGAATAATAATCTGTTACCCCTATGTAGAGGTCTGATCTGGTCAAAAAAAAGGCAATTCGGATATTCATTTGGTCAATCATTTTATATCCGAATAACCGATGAAAAATCTAAATAAATATCGAATATATTCAATGATATTCGATGATATTCAATGATGCATACTTCTTTAGTTACATACAAAATTTATTTTCGACTTTTTAGATTACAGAACTCATAAGGTTTTTAATATAAGTATTAATTAGTTCTCTTTTGACTTTAGTTCGCTTGCTAGTTTTAGATCTTCAAGCTTTGAATCTCAGCAATTCTGTTCTCTAGCATCCCTAGCATGCTAGATTTAAAACAATATTCTTGTAACCATTATTCGATAAGGTTAAGATCTGTTTAAAGTTTCCTTGAACCTATAAATCTAAATTACGGTATGAAAGTTTTTTGTACTTTGTAGAAAATTATTGATTATTCTTAAAATTGAAGGTTCATATTGAAAAGGTTATTATACTGAGCTGTTTTTTTTTAATCTATTTTTATTTAATAAAATTGATTTTTGTAAAAGAAATTTATATTTAATGATTTAGGTTAAACAATTATGTATTTCAAGCTATCACTTACAGAGGGGAAGAATGACGGAGATAGAATAATATAAAAATTTACATCTCACGTCCATTATTATAATAGCAAAAAAGAAGAAAAAAAAGAAAAGAAAAAAAAATAAGGATAAAATAATATAATAATACTAAAAAAAAAAAATCAATCTTTTTAAAAAAAAAAATAAAAAATTTTATACAATCAAATCATAAGTATTATCTAATTCATTACAGTTTCGTTTTAAAAATAACAACCATTCAAATAATTTTGGTTTTAGTATCGTTCTTCTTACAGTCATTATGTTGCCTGCTTCACTGAAAAGTCGCTCACTCGGAGTTGAGGTCGCGGGTATAGCAAGATACTGTCTTGCAAGTTCACTTAAGAGAGGAAAAGAAGTTTTTTTGAGCATTCCACCAGTGAAAGAGATTATAATGATAAAAAACTTCAGGTAAAGAAAGGTAATGGCTTATTTCATCATTTGGCTTATCGATGGTATTGTGTGTAAAAATTGATTTGATGAACGTTTTTTGATAAATTTGGCGTCGACTATTTTCAGCAGAAGGTTGTTCTTTATAGATGTTTAAAGGTTGGTTTATTGGGGTTAGTGAAGATTGAAGTAATTTAATATCATTATATTTTTCTCAAAAGGCAGCTTTGGCTTGAAGTTGTTGGGTTGATGTTGCAAATCTTAATTTTTTAAACCTCAGATCCAGAAGGTATGCAAGGAATAATTCGTTATCTGACAAATCCCAATAGTGTAAAAGTGCATTATATAATACATTCTTAATTTTGTGTTGCATATTAGTGACATCAATGGGTGTATTGATTTTAATTTTTTGATCTTTAGAACTACCTTCTTCCTCTTCTTGTGCATCAATATATCCAACATTATCATCGAATACTAAGTCAATTGTTTCAAAGTTTACATAATTCGATTCGTCTGGATAGTCTATAGAGCAATCTAACTTTTCTATCAATCCTAAAATAGAAGGAATCATAGAGAAAAATGTAGCATATTCGGAACCACCTAGTACTTCCGTAACTTCAAAAAAAGGACCCAAAATATTAACAATATCTCGCATCAAATCCCACTCATTATCAGTTAATTGTATTTCTTTTAACCTTTTCACATCTTTTCGCGCTTCAGGTGCACTTGAAATGGTTAGTATTGCTAAGACAATGTCGATGATATCTTTAATAAGTAGAAGTTATTCCCAGGCAAAAAAGGATGAATTCCAACGAGTTGATACATCCATTTTTGTATGAAGGTATGTTGAAGTTTTGGTAATTATCTATGATGATAGATTTTTTAGTCATTAAATATCTATATATTATACAAATATAGAGACCATGGGACATCTTGTTATTATAGTTATCAATAAAATATTCTAAACTACAATAAAATATATAAACTATTCTAATTTAAAAGTATACCTTTCCTGTAAGATTCCATTCTTCAATTACTTCTTCTAATTTTTCTTTAATGACATCAGCAATATAAGGATATTTGACATATGTAAGAGAAAGTAATACTTTGTGGATTTTGAAATCAGAATCTAGCCACGAGCAGGTAACACCAAGATACCCTTGTCTGTTACGAGATGTCTACAAATTGGTGGTTAGTGAACAATATGTTATAGAATTCTTAAACTTTTTTTTCATAATCTCAGAAGACTTATTATATAATGTATGAATTATTTGTTTTACATATTTTTCATTAGGTAAACTAAACATCAGATCCAATTCCTTTATAAACTCATGAAAGTTAGGACTTACGCAAGACTAATTAGTTGTGTGTTCTGAATAAGAAACTTAACAAGAGCTTTAGTCAATTTATTATTTTTTGATTTAATATGTGGATGAGAACCGGATTTTGCAAAAAAATCGATTTTGATTTGCTTGGGCTAGATAAGAAAATTTTATTATTAAATGATTTTTACAAAAACTATTACAGTCAATTCTTTCTGCACCAAACTCCAGGGCTTATGAAAAAGAATTTATTTTAAAAAGCGTAGTGTTTAAACCAACTTATGATAAAATCAAATTTTTAAGTTTGGTTTAGACAAAATTAGATGTTTATATTATCTAGGTTTGGTTTAGAAAGAGTAGACTGTAATTGTCATATAAAAAATAATTTATACATCTTCTTCATATAATTTAGGTCCATTTGATATAATATCATGGATGTTTGTTAAATGAGATATTAAATTTGAGGTTGATCCACCTAATATCTTTAATCGTGCACCGTATTTTGTTCCTGAATCATTCGATATACAACAAATACCATATATAACTTCAACCTTGATATTTTTAGACCCTTCTAGAGTTTCAATTACATTTTCTGATATGAAATATTTCCACACCCAACTTTGTTTTTTTGATCCACCTCTATGGCCCAATTTTGTTTTTTTATGCATTGGTTTTTTAAGCTGTTCATTGTTGCTTTCTTCACTAGTATATGCATTCTCTAATACTGGGCTTTCAGATTGGTCAGCACGTAGTTTATCAAATGACTGAACTGATGAAGAGTACTGTAAATTATCATCTTCCATCGCAGATATATTAAACAGGTGGCGAAAATTTTAGAAGACTTTATTTGAGACGTATGACTTGTGTGAGAATTCAAAATTACAACAATTAATAAGACAAGAATGGCAATACACAGAATTTTTTTATAAAAATTTAAATGTTTTAGAGATAAAAAGGAGCTTTCTTCGAGTTATTGCTAACCCAAATTCGATGATTTTATTAATTCGATTTTTCCTTTCTTTTATAACTTTACAAAAATTTTGATTACATTCCATCTAATCTATTCTATCATATGAATTTTCAATGAAGAGAACAAAAAAGTCATCGAAAAGGGCTGTGAAAGAAGGAAGTAATTATCTAAGATTTTTTTTTTCTGATAGACTTAATTTGTACTAGCTAATCTTTGAAAATAATTAAATGTTTCATATTTATTTTACATATGAATTTCTTATACTAAGCATTCTTCTAATTTCTTTTTAGCATGAATTCGAAGGCTTTTTAGAATTTTACTATAGATTTTTACATTTAATTGCACAGCCTTTAACGCAGCCTTGCCTATTTTGTTGTTATTAATTTTTTTCATGTTCAAAGAATGGACGCGACTATGAATTTCATTACTTTACTTATTTGATTTAAACGATTCGAGGCCTGGGTATGAGAAAAGGTCACATGCTATACGGGTGTGTCTTGAAATATTTTACCTTTTATAGAATATTCAACTATCGTTAGAATCTATAGGCCTCTAGTGTGTATCTATGCCTCACAAAAAGCACAGGCAAAGACTTTGGCTTATATCAGGCATTTTTGTAGTGCAGGCATGAAAGTGCTAGATGAGTTAGGCACCTTGCATCTGTGGGCATAAGGTTATGGCTCAGATTGCATTAAAAGCATTGAGGTATGCGAAAGTGACCTGAGTCTGTACAATCTGAATATTACAACTAAAAGCAAAATTTCTGATTATATAGAATGAACTAGTACCTTCACTACTATTGCTACTAAAATCATCGCTACTATTTATACTATCAATATTTTTGGAGATATAGATGCATGATTTTTTTTTATCAATTGTGTTATTAGTAACTATACTACTTATTTATTATAACTTACTTGTATTTCTCTTTGTTATAGCGATTACAATTTTATTACAATAAAATTGGGAGAAACTCTATAATTGCGTGATGTATTTAATGTGATATCCAGCTAAATTCTAAGTAAAGATCTGCATCAATCGTCTGTAGTATTTTTTTTTTGAGATGGATTTTTGAATATTTTATATGCTCTTAATAAGATGATTTAAACGTTTTCTATATCACTAGTTGTTGGGTTAATTCTTTTTCTGGTTAGTTCAACTACTGTATTTATGTAAATCTTTTGAACAATTTTCTCATTAGTTATTTATTTAAATACACTAAATGATTATATATTTATAAAGTTTGATAACTCTAGGTATTACAATAGACCTTAAGATTTCCTGTATATTTCTTACAGCCGGTAATCTATGAAATAATTTGTTTCAAGTGGAAGTTAGAATATTAAGTTTCCGTTTTTAAGGTATAAATTAGGTTTTTGTATTTATATTTTATATTTATATATTTAAGTATTAATATGATATTTTTTTTCTTTGTCAGTTAAATGTTAAACATTGGTAAAAATATTTATTATAAAACACACCTATGGTGGTTTTGCAGGTTTTTAAAGAACTTCGCTTAGAGGTGAATATTTTTACTATATATTGCTAGTACTAGTTATATTAACTATATATAAGTTTTAAAAGCTAAAAACAGTCAACTAAAAAAGAAGATTGAGACATTACATGTAAGCTTTGTAAGCTTTAAACTTAAAGAACTTTGTGTATACTGTTTGACATTCTATTTTAATAATGATAAGCTTGTACTAATGCTTATATTCTGCATATTCGAATATTATAGTTAAGCTATTAGATTAACTTGGGTTAAGTAGTAGGTTAATATTTATATATAAGCATTATTGTTTCATTAATTATATAGGCTAAGAGTTATATCACATCTCTAATAAAGGTCGCAATAACTAAAAATTAGGAGTGTAGAGCATTCTTAATTAGAATACTGTATACTAATTAATTAGCTAGTTTTTAAGCTAATACAATATAGATGGTAAAATGCCATAGATGCATTTAGTAAAAGTGGGTAAAATAATAATTTGTTTTATTAAATATTTAGTATTTAATTAAACTGTAGTTGAGTTTGTTCAAGTTTTCAAATATTTTAATATGGTCGCTATTTATGAATTATCTAAATATAGCCCGTTAATTTAAATATATAAGTTGAGCTAAAGATGTTGTTCAAAGGTATTTCTGTGCTGAAATTCTTTGATAAATATATCATATCAAAGTCAAGAGTGTACTAAATATGTAAAGCAATCCCGAAAGTTAAACACTATTAAGGATATTTACTAAAAATTTTTAGCATACTAATGAATAGTTATTTGATTTTACTAAACAAGATCTCAGACCACCTGGGTTTTCAGTATTACTTAAGTGCCTCGAGGATTTACATATACAATCTATTTGTTCCAAACCTTCTATGACGCTGCTTGCCAAACGTAATGCCAACTCTCTATAGTTTTTGATCTTCACAGATTAATATGCGCAACTTTCTGTTCAGATCTTCTATAATGCCACTTGCCAAACATGATATCAACTCTCTATAGTTAAATCTCTTTCTAAGAATTTCTTATCAAATCCGTACTATACTTGAACTTCTACAGGGCTCCGTGTTTGATTTTGGCTCCTCATCTGTAGGTTATAGAGTTTTTTAACCTTCAGCCTAACTCAAACTATGGACTTTAATTTAATTTCTGTAGAAGTTTGGCAACTTAACAATTAAGCTATAAGGCCCAAACTGCCTAAATCAATTTAATAGCTTTAAAGTGGAAAACAACATGTTTAAACTAACATAGTTACTTTAAAGTGGCAAACAAAATAATGCACATGTCTGAATTAATATTATGACTTTAAAATAAAAAACAACTGACACCATAGCTTTAAAGTAGCAGACAAAATAATATGTATGTTTAAATTAACTTAATAGCTTTAAAATAGCAAATAAAATAAAATGTATGCCAAAATCAAATTAATAGTTAATGGCTTTAAAATGGTAAATAAAACAATACACATGCCTAAATTAACTATAATAATAGCTTTAAAATGACAAGCAAAATAATGCACATGCCTAAATCAATATCAACAAATAGCTTTAAAAATAATACACATGTCTAAACTTACAATGTAGCTTAAATAGTAAGCAAAACAACGCACATGTCTAAAATGACATCAATGTCAAATAATTGGCCTTTATTTCTAAATGACACATATGCTTGTATCCAAAATAACAAGCGAATAGGTGTATTATTAAAAGTATAATAAGTAACTTAAGTGTAGTAAATATACTTAAATGAAGTTTTATTTAAAGTATCTAAATTTTTTTGATTTATGGGATGTTTTATTTAAAAAATAAGAAACAACTTGAAATAATGAAAGTATATTTCTGTGTTTAGGAATGTAATAGGGATATCAACGAAACTGGACAAATGAAAATCATATTTTCTTTATTAGGATTATTATGACTTGCATAAAACTTCAATTTCTCTTTTTTTATATATTCATATTACTTAACTATTACTATATAGTTACATATTATCTTTATTTAATTATTATATATTAATTATACATATATTCTATCATAGCTGACTACATCAATTAATTGCCAACTATATAATTATTAGCTAATAATTAAAAGCTATTTAACTTTAGTGCATCTTTTATTCAAGTAGAAAGGCATATAAATAAGACTAATCTGTTTAATAATTAAAATATAGATGATATTCAAAATATGCAATAATGAACCCTGCTTATAGTTTGTCATTTTGTTATTACAAACTTTTTATTAATTCTATTTTATTTATTAGCATTATTTTATGGGTTTAACTAATTTTTTTGGCTTTGGTTTTAACAGATTGAGTAGCATCAATATTTATGCCTAATTTATTCATATCTAAGGTTCTTATTGGCAAGACACAGTAAGAGGAGCGCCATTTATCATCTGATTTTTAGGGTAGGGGGGGTCTCAGAAAATTATTAGATTCTAATAATAAATAATTTTGATTGGCTAAAAAAAAATTAAAAAATTAAAAATTTTTAAAATTTAATATTAAATAACTTTTGACTCAGTGATCTGTTTTAAGTGATTTTATCACCAAAATGTCCGTCTCAATGAGACTATTTTAACAAGCCTAAAATCATCAAAATCCAATCACAGGATCCCGAGATTGGTATAGATTTATATTACTTTAATTATATTATTTATATTAAAAATTATTATTAAAGATCTTATAAACTTTAATATCAAATAACTTTTGAACCAGAAATCCGTTTAGGATGATTTTACTACCAAAATACTCATCTCAATGAGGTGATTCTAATGAACCTTAAATAGTTAAAATCTAATTATAAAAACTTGAAATAGTTATAGATTTGTATTATTTTAATTAATTTATATTAAAATAATACAAATTTATAACTATCTCAGATTCTTGTCATTGGATTTTAACGATTAAAGTTTATTAGAATCACCTCATTGAGATAAACATTTTGGTAGTAAAATCATCTTAAACAGATTTTTGGTTCAAAAGTTATTTGATATTAAAGTTTATAAAATCTTTAATAATAATTTTTAATATAAATAAAATAATATAATTAAAGTAATATAAATCTATAACAATCTTGGGATCCTGTAATTGGATTTTGATGATTTTAGGCTTGTTAGAATCGTTTCATTGAGATGGACATTTTGGTGATAAAATCACTCAAAACGGATCACTGATTCAAAAGTTATTTAATTTTAAATTTTAAAAATTTTTGATTTTTTAATTTTTTTTTAGCCAATCAAATTGCAGTATTTATGATCAGGTAGGAGGTAGGGGGTAGCCTCTCAGTAGCAAAATATTAGCTGATAAATGGTGCTCCCCTTAGCAACAAAGAGCAAAT